CGACTTCAGTTCAGCCTGATCAAATCTCTAGCTGCATACTTCTTTACATAAAAATCTAAATTTCTATAAAAATTCAATCTCTTCTTTTAATGTAAAATTTGTTGAAAATTGTTTTCAAAAAACAGTTATCTATATCATAATAATTTGTATTATAATAACTGTGATTAACTAGAAAATCAATTATAATCATAAAAGTTGAATTATAAATAGAATTATTACACATTACATGTTATGTATTATTATTATTATTATTATTATTGTCATATTACATGTTATTAATTAAACTATCACATATTATTATGTCACACATATCAGTTATAGTTATGTATATTTTTATGTAAATACTATATATGCTGCACATATCAGTTATATACTTATATTATTCTAATATTTATCGTATATTGTATACTGTAATTTTCATTACAATACTCACATGATAAATATTCATCGTATCAAGAATGTATGCATGCATAAAACTCAAAAAATTGTCTCTCATAAAAAAAAAAAAAGAAAAAGACACCACGCGTCAGAAAATTTTATTAAAAAAACTACAATTAAAATATCGAAAATTTAAGGAAATAAATAATTTCATAATTATAACAGACACTATAATGTACTTGAATGATCGAGATGCAAGTAAAAATATGCTCGTGATCAAGTCAACAAAAGTAAAAATTATTGGAAAACGTGGAAAAGAGAAGTCATAGAAAACAGGCTGATTCCATTGTACTACAATAATTACAATTCTATCGTTAACCTATTAATCATAAAAATTGAACTGCAATTAACACGCTGTCCAGTGATTATTTTATTACGTGTCACACGTGCACAATAATTACATTACCAGATACTCATTTCACGTGCTATGAAATCATCAGGAATTTGGGAGAACAAATAACAGCACAATTAAACAAACACTGACGCAGCAATAAATGTACGACCGTGTCCGTAAGGCAGAGACGTTTGTGAAAAGATTGAAACAATCGAACGGGTTGATTCCATTGCTAGATAGTACGCTTCCTCGGGAAGCGTGGGTGGCAGCGAGATGGTGAGGAGGAAAAGGGGTGAAGAGGTGTCGGGAAGAACGGGAGAGGGTTCCGGCGTTGATGAGTTCTGCGTAACGCTCGTTATGCAAATGCGGGTAGTAACATCGTACAAACGTTCATTGTAGATCATAACACCATTCGAAACTTCTTTCCTCGAACACACGTGCGTATGCACGGGTAAGTATACGTGCGCGCGTACGCGTATTCGTTGCATTCAACGAGTGATAGCCCGATCAATCCTCGAATACGCGTTCAAGCCTCTCATTTCTGAACATCGGTAACGGCGATTTGCAAACATTGGCCGTTTGCAGCTTTACAACGCTGGACGAACCGTAAGGAATTTAAAGCGGCCGGGTCACGCGATTTCGTACGCTGTGTTATTTAAAACGTTACGAAAAGTTTCAACAGCCTGCCGATTGTCTCTCCCGCCATCGAGCTGCTCAATGACGCGAACAATTAGATGTGAAAACCATCGGAGCCAATGGAAATAACCTTCAGCCTGACATCGACAGTTATTATTCTTATTTGTCATAATTTTTATCCTTTTGCGTAACTTTGTATTCATTGTATGCAGAAATTGTTATATTATCCAATTATGTATTATATATACACGTCGTGAGTGTACATAAATTTGCACGTGAAAAATTTTGCACAAATGTTATATATAAATTTATGTATAAGAAATATGCATAAGTGTATATATAGTCAATTTATATGTGAAACTTTTGTGTAAATGTTATGTACAAATATTATGCGCAAATTTGAATATAAAATAAATATATAAAATAATATTGTACAAATTGTACAAATATTGTAAATTTGCATATATTTTGGATTATAGGAGTATTCAATTTTCTAAAAGAGTCATCATCAAGTATATTTTGAAGCAAGTATGTATGTATATCTTGAAAGTTTGATCTAAACATAAAGGAAGAATTTGAATAATCCGAAACACTTTAAGTTTAAAAATTAATAAAATCAATTAATTCTTTTTTTACATGCTATTTTTATACATGCTATTTTAATTTTACAAGTAAAAATGTAACAAAAGGAGAAAAGAGAGATTCCTCTAAACATAAAAAAAAGGAAGAATTTCTATAATTCAGAACACTTTAAGTTTAAAAATTAATAAAATCAATTAATTCTTTTTTTTTACATGCTATTTTTATACATGCTACGTGCTATTTCAATTTTACAAGCTAAAATGTAACAGAAGGAGAAAAGAGAGATTCCTCTAAAAATTGAGGATTCAACTCAAACAACGTCATGGGTAATTCTATAACAAGTTGCATTCGAATACAAAAGAACTATAAAAGTTAGGTGTATTCCACTTAATAATTTAAACCAACTATTAGAATCATTCTTCATCTTCAACATCTTACATTTTAGTAAAATTGAAGAATCTAAACTCCTCAATTTAATAATAATAGTAAATTATTCAAATACACATCCTGTTTAAAATGTGTGTCAATTACACGTAGTATTACACACATGCACAATGGAATTTTTTGGAAGGTGCTGACATGATATCATGCTTGCTGATAAAGAAAAATTTTTGAACTGACCTCGGTCTAATAAAAGCAAATTAGCTTCCAAAACAGAAACGCATGTTTTACAAGCGACGTGTAATCACAGATGACATAAGTTGGTAAACGAGTACAAAGAGAACGCGGAACGGAGCATCATGAAAGAAATGAGAAGCATCGGACACCGGGACGTCATATCCGGGCGTGATAGATCGAGCCAAGGTGAGCAGAGGTCGTGAGCGGCCCTCTAATGAAGAAAATCTGTCTTGCATTTTAAAGGACTTCTTATCCCCCTCCAAGGAAACACGTAACAATCCTTTGGAATCGAATGTAACAAAATACCAGAACGTGAAATTTTATTAATGCTTAGTACACATGCTGCACCACTTTTGCATTGTATACTTTTGTATCCCTTTGCTGTTGTTGCCCGTACGCTATCGTTTTGCCCATTTTTGGTGGAATACAATTTAGTTATATGCAATTAAAGACTGGCTTTATTAAAACTGTCATAAAATATTGTGGCATGATGCAATTTATTCTTTATTTTGAAGATTAATACCGTAGAAATATTGTATTATTTTTCAATATTACTGAATATTATTATATTATTTTAAATATTGAATATACTGAATATCATTATTTTTGAATATTATTGAATATATTGAATATCATTATTTTTGAATATTACTATATTAGTTTGAATATTATTGAATATACTGAATATTATTATATTATTTTAAAACTTATTGAATATTATTATATTATTTTAAATATTATTGAATATATTGAATATCATTATTTTTGAATATTACTATATTATTTTGAATATTATTGAATATACTGAATATTATTATATTATTTTAAATATTATTGAATATATTGAATATTATTATATTATTTTAAATATTATTGAATATATTGAATCATTATTTTTGAATGTTAGTATATTATTTTGAATATTATTGAATATACTGAATATTATTATATTATTTTAAATATTATTGAATATATTGAATCATTATTTTTGAATGTTAGTATATTATTTTGAATATTATTGAATATACTGAATATTATTATATTATTTTAAATATTATTGAATATATTGAATATTATTATATTATTTTGAATATTATTGAATATTATTTTTATAAATATTATTATTAACATATCGTAAAAGCTCATTATATTGAACTTGTTTGGTTGTCTATAGGTAAGACAAACGAGATCCTCTCAAATTAGTGGAAAAACTATCTATTAATTCTAGCATTATTACTTAAAATGTTACCAATGAACACTTTGATAATGAAGTAATTTTAAGATTCCATTGATTGCAAAGTTTTAAATAAACAATTTATATATTATTTGATATATATATGTATGTATTTACTTGTAAAAAAAATGTATATGTATTTGCTTTCATAAAGAAAACAATAAGAACTACTTTTAATTAATTTTGCTAATACAAATCAATGCACACACTTATGAATGAGAGTATGTTTAATCGAATATTTTACTACTTTGTTTCAATGTGTCTTCAAGATCATAAAAATTTTATCTGTATATTTTTTTCATATATAAAAGGTTCCAGAATTTAAGAATCAAAATTATCTATATTCTATGACTGTAATCAAACAAAGTACACTATTATAAATATGGACCATTTAAAGCTTCATTAAAGAATAATAATAAAAATACAAAATACAAAAAGTAAAAATATTATTTTGACCAATAATATTGCCTCCGGTATCGAAATGAGTTTCATAAGGCAACCAACTTAGCAAAAATATTTGATATAGAATATTATATAACAATTAATGTTGCAACTATAATTAATATGAATTGTGAAGCTATTCTTGTCTCGTAGCATCGTAAAATTAAAAGTCCATTCTATTTATTATAACTTTTTAGTAAAGCTTTATATAATTATGTTTATATGACAATTTTTGTTTAATTATACTCATAGAACATAATGATAAATTTTTGCTGATAAACAATTTGCTGGGACAGATATACTGTATTTCTCACCTAATCTCTTTTGTTTAAAAGCTTTCGAATTGCAAAGGATGTCTTATTAAATAATGAAATATTTTCAATTTTCAATTTTTCTTTGTCTTACAATGTTTTATAAAGTAGATATCATTTCGATATGTAAACAACAAAAAAGTATGATCAATGAACTAAACTGTGAATTTTAAGCAAAAATTGCAAATTAAAAAGTAGAATAATAAGATAGATAATAGATAATAAAACAGAGAATAGAAAATTGTTTTACACGTCAGTATTATGGAAAGCATACTTTAGATACTTTATATATATTTTTCACATCATCACATCCTGTGAAATTTTTCATTCTTGCATTTACTACAAGTGAATAAAAACCTGCAACGACTATTACTAATGATAAATATAAATTCTTATAAATTCCTACCGGGCTCGAAGTTTTTCTTCATCCGTCGCCACTGTCTCGCGTAGAACAAAGCCGAGCATCCTGCGACCAGAAAAAAGAGAATACAGGCACACACGGCAAGGATCAATGCGACTGTTTGCCAATCCCATAGGATTCTCTCCTTAGAAATAGCCGCGCTTCTTGGATATGAAGGCTCGTTCAGTAGCTGAAATTTCATCGTAGAATTAAATTTCACAGACGTTTCAATCACTGAAAAATGCGCAATAATTTTAAATCACTAAAACAGACTACCGCAGAATTCTATTTATCTAAACTTCATTTTTCTATTGAGGTGAAATTTCCAAAATTTAATGCTCCTATTAATAAATAAAGAATAACAAAATTATATTGGAAGTATGATTTTATGAGAAAACATAATTTGAAAACTATGCCAAGTATGTATATCTATTCACCTAATTTTTCATTAATTTACAAAAGTAAGTAGAAAATTTAGAATAAAATTTCTTGGTTTAACACTATACCTACTAGTTTGTGATAAGTAAATGTTTTATATGTAAACCGATATCATTCAAATGATACTAAATAAAATAAATAGATCTAATTATATCTCTATTTAAAATCAACATTAATTTTAACAAAAATAATTGTAAGTTTTTGGTAATTCTAAAAAGATAAACTCTAAATCCTATCGTTTTGACAAATTTGACTGGTTTTAAAGAATGTTTAATGAAGAATTTAGTACATACACATACTCGATAAATTTCCAAATCCGATTTTCTCAAAAACAAAAAGATTTCTTCTACATCTTGTATCTTATTTTCATAGGCAAAACAATCTTCCAGTAAAAAATTAATCAAATACACATCTTTTCAAACTTAATATTTTCAAAAATGAACAAATTCTGTTACTTCTGATGTTCAGCTTATTATTGCTTTAATTCTATTCTACTTGTATATTATTTTAATGACATCTTAATATTACTTTTAACTAAAAAATCTACCTGATTTTCTCAGGAATGAACGCATTTCATTACTCTTTATTTTTATCTTATTATTAGTTTAATATTCTATTCTACTTACATTATTCTTGATTTTTATTTTATTATTATTTTAATATTCTACTCTACTTATATAATTATTATTTCAATGATATTTTAATATTACTTTAAGTCAAAGAATTTATCTAACTTCGTCTGTACCACAATATACAACATACTCATTTGCTAAATCGATTATACTTCACAGAACAAAAAGAGTAAAGAAATTAATATTCCTTTTTAAAATTCTCTTTAAAATTCAAACTAAAATAAACATTACGTATCATTGCAGTGGCTTCTGTCTAACGACATAAAAAATGCATAAAATAATCGTGATTCTAAAATAAATTTGTTTACTAATTACTAAAGAAATGTATTACTAATTATTAAAGAAATGTATTACTAATTACTAATTACTAAAGAAATGTATTGTAAATATAAAAAGTTAAGCGTCAATCAAATGCTTTGGCGCTAAAGTTAAAAGAAAATCCAAGAAGCGAACATAATAATATGTACACACGTACATGAGTCGTTTTCCTTTCAATGCAATAAAAATTCGAGTATAATCAACATCATTGTAGATCTTAATTATACCTGGTTCTTCGTTTTCGACTGACTATCTCGCTCCGAGTTATCGACAAAGTCCTTCGATTCTTGCCTAATCTGTTGCTGGTCCAAATCCGGGAACCTCCACAGCATCTTCGAAGTGACCGCTTCGAGGCTTCTTTGGCCGGTCTCTGGTCGTTTCCTGGTCGAAAGGAAAGACCAGTCGAGCTCGAGGGCGGACAATGGTCCGCAAATAGCATCCTTATAAATCGCGCAGGGACTCAAAGTAAATTCAGGAGAACATCTGGTGCAAGGCCAACAGGTAGCACGCTCGACCGACCAAAATTCGAAACCCGGCTTACAGACCGGATATCGAGGAGCGGATGTTGAGCAGCCAGCCTTGCGGAGACTGACCAATAGCAGCAGCACGGCCAACAGATATCCCCGATTAGGCTCCCGAGGCATCACCTGAAACAATTTTTACACTGATTGCATTTTAAATAATTTCTCAATCACCTCTACTCTGTAATAACCTAATAAACTATGGATTCTTGTGCAAATTCATATCTTTGACTTTGAGAATATAACGAGAAAAAAATTCAGTCTCAGCTCAGAAAATTGTTTGTGACGTTATGAAGTATTATAGGAGGCAAGATATTATCTTGGATATTTTATATACTTTTTCATATTGTGTGCATTGTGTGCATATTACACCTCCACATTTCATATCATGTCCATTACGTGCATAAAAATCTGCAGTCTAATAATTTATTTATTTACTTAGTGGAAATTTTTAAGTTCAAGGCTGCAAAGATAACATTTCAGTGCGATTTTTATCTCTTTGGATTAACGTTTAACTTCAAAATTAAAATCCAATTGTAATCAAGTTTCAGGAGCAAAGAGCGATAGATATAAAATGTAATCAAATACAAATATATACAAGTATATACATTTTTAATCCTAGAGAAATTAACTGATAAATTTAAAAAGGAGAATTTTCAAGGATGAAGGAGGAACAGTAATTTTGCAAGAAGTAACGAAATCGGCAAATAATAATGATGACTGACAATAATTAATATTAAACTTAACAAATAATCATTTCGTTTCAAACTGACGTTCAATTTAAATAATGTAAACAGAAATGATGTATAGATATATGTGTTTCAATGCTCTAAAATTACAGAATGTACTTTAATACTTTAAAAATTGCACGCTTCTCTTCAAATTTGTCCCTAGTATTCAATAACATTCTAAGTTTTACAGAACATTTTCTCATATTTTCAATTTTATGCAATATTGCTTCATTATGTTATATTGTTAGAGTGACGAGATGCAACTTTTTGGCTCAATCGGCACGTACATCGATACGATAATGAAGTGACACTGTATAAGATATGTATATATTGATATTCATACAAAACTTAACGTTAAATTCACTACAGACTATATACATAGATATAGAAACTGAGTGTTGATACATACAGGATGTTCCCGGGTTAAATCGTCAAAATTTAGATGTGAATTTAGGAATCCTAAAACAAACAAATTTTTTCCTCTAGAAAGTATGCTCGCAAATGTTTTCTTCAAGAGACATTTACTTCTAAAGTTATTTAAACCTCCTGCGCCACGCACGTCGAGAATTTTTTGTCCCAAATTGCAACATTTTCTCAGTTTTAAGTATATTTAAATGTTGCCCAGGCAAAACAAGCGATAAGTTTATTACTTCTTAATAATTTCTATCCAGTGACATCATACCGACCATAGTTCAAAAGAAAAAGAAAGCGACGAATTATTGCATATGGTTCGGTCTCTCGTTATGGTCCGCGAACCAGTTGCCAGCGCAAAGGGTGAAGAATTAGGAATGAATAACATTGAAATATCTGTGTTACCGAGATTCATGCTTATCTCCAAGCTGAAGTTAATCATTTCGAGCAACACGTGTAATAATTACAATTATTTTTAGTAATAAATTTCAACAATTTTCTTTAGTAATAAGCCTGAATTGTTTCGATGTATATACGTTACTAAGTCCTATTTAGTAGTAAATATCTCTTGAAGAAAGCATTTACGAGCATATTTATTACGAGAAATTTGTTCGTTTTACGATCCTAAATTGATATCTAAAGTTTGGCGATTTAACCCCGGAACATCCTGTATATGGGTATAGAAAAATTGTAACTGAGCGGATTTCGACGACGAACTCTTTTGAAATTAGAAGTTTATTAACAATACATCGCTAGAATAAAATATCAATTATAACGATGGCGATATATAACAATTGCACGGACATCTTCAATTAATAACCATTCTTTTAGGCAAGTGAATCATTCGTGTGAATAAAAACAATTCGTTCTTTTTAAAACAATTCGTTAAAATAATTGAGCGTGTAAAGCAGTCGTTTAACCGGCAAAACCGGCCCAGACCGTTTCCACTTCCGGCTCGTTTGCGATGTAATTACATCCGTAGTTGTATCGCGAGCGTACAGACTTATGAGTATGCGTACGCACGCGCATTAGAATAGTTTTGACATGAATCAATTGACCGCGATTCGGTCGTGATTTTGCTTAGATTTTTATTAACACTGGTATACATTTTCGATCGATCGAAACGCAACGATTGAACTACTATTAGGTAAAATGCATTTCTACAACCAATACCGATTCCAACGCAATCAATTGGATTAACGTTCTAGGTTAGCAGTTTGCGATATTGTGAACGTTGATACGCGAATGGCCGAGTAGATTGAACGACAAACTTGAATACACGAGAGGGAATGCACGAGCTGATACGATGCAATCAGTTGTCGAACGATTGGAAATAGAAAATTGTGTCACACGGATAGAAAGCGTAAGAATTCTATCTGTGGCGAAGGTTTCTCCCGGGCTATTTAAAATTTGATGCGCGCGCACGCCTCTCAATGGTACTTCTCGATTGCGTGGCGAATACGTACACGCAGTTTGCGTACTAGATATTACGGTGTAACGCAGAACGACTGCACACGAATGAATCTCGATCGAAGCTCTTTCAAGAGTAATAATATAATATAATAGATCTATGATTTCATGATAATTCTAATTTTATAAATAAAAATTAATATCTATTATATTACAAATTATATAATTATATAGATATAAATATAATTATAATATAATTAATTGTATTTTAATATATTTTAATTATATTTTGTATAATAATTATATTATAATATATTTAATATAATTATATTATAATTATATTAAACTTGTTACAAACGTAAACGTAATTAAACGTAAACAACAATTTATTATGATTATAATTATATTATAATTTATTTATTATTATTATTAATTTATCATTATTATAATTTATTATAATTATAATTATTATATTAAACATATATAAATACAATTATATTATCTATTAATATCTATTAAAATTACAAAAATATTAATTTTTAGAATTATATTGTTTTTCATACGTTTAAGTATAACATTATTAAGAATATACTTTTCATTTTTAAGTTATGAAATTATTTTAGAATAAGATATTGTTAGATCGAATTCAATAAAGATAAATATATTTTTAATTGTAAATTATAAAATTGTACCATTTATATATTTATTTCGTCAATAATTCTTATTTATAGAATTAGAATTATCATGAAATTGTAGATCTATTATGAAAAATTATATTAATTGAACTATAATTTGATAAAATCAAATAGAGATTGTAATGCACAATCTAAGTAATAAATTCGCAGCTATTTGCAAATTATTCAATGTTAAATAATTATAATTTGAATCAAACCTAATATAGATTCTTCTATGATATTGATATTTATAAATAACATGACAACAATATATCCCTTAAAAACAATTCCCAAGTATAACAATTCACAAGTATAGTATTTATATTTGAATTAATAAATTGATAAAACATAGTTTAATATAAAAAGAAATTAGTAAATTATATTAATAAACTATTTAAATTGATAAAGTGTTTAATTTTTAAACATTTGAAATAAGATAATTGATAATTAAAAATATTTAAGTTTATATTTTAATTAACAAATCGAAGTAAATATGAATCGAGATATCGGTTAAAAAATTTCACTATTGTTCCAATCGTCTGATTTTCTAAATTTATAAATCGAATTACAATAAGATTTATAATAAATATGTAATATTTGTTGTTCTCCAATATAGAATAAAATTTAATTTCACCGATTGATATCTACGACTCTTAATTTATTAGTATCTTAATAAGCGATTAACATATATTATACTATCATTCATAAGTCTCATTGATATTCTATACGTTTGCTGTGTCATTGAATACACACGTAAAAGTCAATAGCATTTCGTTATATTCCACATTTCACATGTTATCTAATTAAATGTATGTTCTCATTGAACGCATTTCAGACTTTCAACACTTTTAAATCTAAAAATTTTTTCTTTTTACAATTATAATTTTACATCAGATAAAAGAATGAAATAATTTAAATTTGAACTTAAACTTCTCTGACATTCACATCGTATAATACAACTAAGTAAATGTATGTATACGGATACGCGTGTACACACATGAATTGAACATTATACTCCGAATGTTGAATGAATTATCGTTGAATGAATGGGACTGTTTAAAATCTTACAAACGGAGATAGTACAACAGAGGTTTTAATAAACACAGCGAAGTAAAAACCTCGGAGATGAAAATAATTTTCGTTGAATTGAAATAACGCTGACAGCGAGTTTGCACGAAGAAATATTCTTACAGTAATTATACGTACGCTGCCTTCGATAAATGCAGGCCTGTCATGACGCAATCCAATCGATGTATCCAAGATCGATCACCGGAAGAGAAACCGACAAAATATCCAGGGTACACAGAAAATCATTGAACTTCCCATTCGAACAAATTCAAACGAATGATCGATCCAGACGTTGAGCTTCACAAAATTCTACGTCTCCTTAAGAGCGAAGTTAACGAAAATCTCTTTTCCACATATTGGAAATACGGACAGGAAAGGCGGTATTTCAAAAAAAAAAGAGAGAGAGAAGAAGAAAATCTCCACTTCTATGGAATAGACGCGAACCGCCCGCCAACCACAATACAACTGACTAGACTGGTTATTCTAATTTCCGCCCACGATCCTCCCTAGCGAAGAGAACACGTTTGTGAGAAGGAGGGAGATACTGAAAGGAAAGAGACGCACAGAGGTGGAAGAAGATGAAAGAAGACAGAGGGAGCCACGCGGTAAAATAAGAAGAAAGAGAGAGGAAATAGGGATGGCTTTAAACGTCGCCACCTATTGTTGACAGTGCAATAACTAACAGTGAAAGATGTTTCACGAACTTAAAGCGTACGATTTTCTGCTAATGGCAATTGGTCTGTTAAGAAAATAATAAAACGCGCAGGACGTGTGAAAAATATTTTACGTAGATATGATGAGATGTATCGAAATTAAATTAAAATGTCAATCTCTCTTAATACGTTATAGAATATATAAATGGAATTGAATATTACAATTTGAAACAAACTCTGTTTTCTCTGTATAATTTGAGATCGATAACATTATACAATTATCGTATGTGTGTGTGTGTGTGTGTGTGTGTGTGTGTATTTAATAATTTTAATAGTTTCATTTAAAAAGTTTTAACGCAATTTTTATTATGTTTCAATTTTCGGATATGTATATTATTACGTAAGTTTTATACAGGAGATTCTTTTTTTATATTTAGCTGAAATAAGTTTTAAAATCTTTAAAATTTATTAATGAAAATATTTCTAAATTGTAATGGTAAAAGATAACATAGAAAATATAATAAATATTTTTAAAAAAACGTAACAAACGTGAACTTAAAATTTTGATTCAAGTTTATCGAGTTATATCTACATCTATATGTAAGTACATATTTACATAAATAATTTGAATTCGTGTTTAGTGAATAATGAGTACGTTAAATTAGTGAAGTATTGTTAAATTTTTTACAGAAAAATATTAATTTGTTTAACTCACTATAAAAAAAAAAAGATAGTCTTCTACTTTCGCGCCATCTTGAATTGTTGAGCAATTCACTTCGAAGAAAACAGTAACAATCTAGTTATGAAAACAGAAACTAGAATAAAGCAAAGCATCGGTAGGATAACATTTTAGAATATGATCTTTTAATAATAAACTAGATATTGATTTTCCTTTAAATAACTTCTGACTTGTTACTTCAATTTGTTGAAAACAGGTTCAAAATTTAAATGCTAAATGTTAATAGAATTCTATTTAATCTAATTGATAATTATCATAAATATTGAAATTTCAGGCTGCTGATATATTTAACTTTTCAATTTGTTTTATTAATACAAAATCCAGTATTTAATGTATAACGTGAAAATGAAATTAAGAAAATTCTAACCTTAAAATTGAACTTTTATAATACACGTAAAGTAAATGAAAATTGTTATTAAATTATAATTTTTTAATTGTTAATGTATAATACTTTTATACAGTAAATTTTATACAATAGTACTTTGTTAATATAATTTTATATGATTTTATGTAATTTTTGTCAATATAAATATAAGTTTTTGATCTCAAAGAGAATTTTAAACGAAAATTTAGTGAAATTTTTAAATTAATAATTGCTATTTTAATCGTTAAATAGATGTAACTATTTTACTTATGCTTTACTGTATTTGAATTCCTTTATGAAAAATGTACTGCGAAAACTTTAATTGATGATATTTTAATTTAAGTTAATTTAATTTAATTAAATCAAAGTCTTGATTTGTATGTGTTAATAAAATTTTAAATATAATTTCAGATTCCTCCGAGGGGGTATCGGCAAAACAATCAATCTTAACAGTTGGTGTGATTTTTATTACCTCATTATCAGCATTACTTTATGTGTATACTACTTTTCCAGAACTTGCAGAGTAAGAAAAGATTAGAATAGATTTTATATAAACAGATATTTGAATCTGTTATATTTCAGAGATGAACGACAACATATGAAATTACCGTTACACATTGAAGAAGCTAAAAATTTAGGTAAACTTCTTGGACGATATAAAGATCTTTATTATTTTCAAGTGCTCGCTGGATTGTTTATTATGTATATTTTGTATCCTTTAATACTAAATTCTTTTAGTTTCAAAATAATTGATAGACTTTAGAAACACATCATTTCATATTTACCTAGATTATATTTTATTTTTCACGTATAATATATACATTTATCTTCAAATCTTAACATATAGTTGATGTACAATTTAATAGTACAATTTATAGAAAAGCCCTTAACATAAGTTTAGTTTACAAACATTTGCTATTCCAGGTTCTATTTTCCTTTCAATCCTTTCTGGTTTTCTTTTCCCCTTTCCCTTAGCCTGGTTATTAGTATGCACCTGCAGTGCAGTAGGAGCATCACTTTGCTATTTTCTTTCATCACTTTTGGGACGTAAATTACTTTTTAAATATTTCCCAGAAAAAGCAAGAGAATGGTCGTTAACAGTAAAGAAGAACGAAAACAATCTTTTCAATTACATGCTATTTCTTCGAATAACTCCATTACTCCCAAATTGGTTTATAAATTTAGCCAGTCCTGTAATTGGAGTGCCTCTTGCACCATTTGCTCTAGGTACTTTCTTTGGAGTTGCTCCACCATCTTTTATTGCCATTCAAGCAGGTAAAACATTGCAAAATTTAACATCATCTACTGACGCATGGTCATGGAATAGTATTATAGTATTATGTATATGTGCTATATTACCATTAGTGCCTATTATATTTAAACAAAAAGTACAACAAAAATATGATTAACTTTAGAGAAGAGTTTTAAACAAAAATTTATTTATTTAAAAAATATATTTAGTATTTAAACTAAATTATTTTTAAAAAATTCATTTCCAATAAATAAAATTTTATATCTAATATTATTACACTGTTATGTAAGATCATAAACTTGTACTACATGTAGATTTTTTACTTTTCTCAAATTTAATTGTGTCAACAATTTGTGTTATATGTTGTTTAATTTGATGTTTTTTTTATACTGTAATATCGAGCATTTATTACAATTTTACAAAAGGAGCACAAACTTAAACTATTATTTTATAAATGTCAATGTATTGTTCCATTTATGAAGTTTTTCATAAAATCAATTATTTAAGATATTGTTTGAGGAGAAGGAATAACAATAATAAAAACAATTATAGTAGTGTACAGAATTTTTTCAGTAAAAACTTAGTTATATAAAATTAATTCAGTTACCTCAAAAAGTAATTCAACAGAATGAAGTCATGTAACTAATGGTAATAGTAGTTGAATTTAAAGCTGGAAAGCTGACTGGTCGCCAATACCACCAGTTATACCATACTAAAAAAGAAATATAATTCTGGCAATCAAATATTTGAACAATGTTTAATTATCACATGTGTAATATTCAAAACATTTATTTAAATCAAATGTAAATAAACTTACTCTGTTAATGTTATATCAAAAATAAAGTAAATAGTTTAAATAATTAAACTTAAATTAATCTATCTTTTTTAAATGATTATACATTAAGATACATACGAGTTTTTCCAGCAGATAATAACACTGTAAAGGATTCACAAGATGCACTACATTCTGAGCTTGCTATCATTTTTATCAACCTTGTACCAGTTGTACATCTTATCATTATATTACTACATTCAGGATTTGGCTAAAGTTTTGAAAATTAGTATTAATTAAAAAAGTTATTCTATAAACAAAATAATTATTTCTAATATAAGATTATTTTTAAAATAATAGCATATACATATATTCAAGTATGTATTAGTTTTTTTTTTTGCAAGAATATTTTGTACATTTATATAATAATTAATATTTTTTAGAAAGCAATATTTCATGCAAACCAAAAAATAACATCTTACATACTAAAGAGTAAGGTGGTGATTTTGGTTCATCAAAAAAAATAAATTTTTCTGTACTTTGTTCCCACCAATTTGGTGTATCAGTGGGTTTTGGGAATAATTTTCTTAAAATTCTTCCTGCTGTTATGCGATTAATTCTCCATGTAACATGATTGTATAAATTTTTGGAAAGATTTAAATCCATGTTTTTTTCCATAACATCTTGAATGTTTCTAGAATAATGTATCTTTTGTTTAAAACTTTTTATTTAAAGCACTTTAATATTTTTTTTTATGTATATATATATGGTACCTGTAAGTTTTATTGTTAGAAAATACTTTCATAGCATCTGTTTTAAATACTTCTGAATTTTGCCACAATAATTCTTGTATATCTTTCATACGAACATCCGAAAAATTTTCTGTTTTTATATAAGGAATTCCAACATTAAATGATCTAGATATATGATGGCCAGTTAAATCAGGTATAAAATGTACAACGCTACAGGGCCAACAATCCATATCATTTACATAAAAATATGGATTTTCTAATATGCACCATTCGTCATATAATTCTATAAAATAATGTAAAATAAAACATAAAAGAAAAACAATATAAATATTTTAAAAAAACTAAACAGCATTATTGAAATCAATTGTTGTCATTATCATAATGATGCGAGATTTAAAAAGTAACTGCTGATCTTTTATATTCAAATATATATTTATTACATATAATTTTTTAATAATTTACATTATACATATAATTCTATGATCATATAAAGGATTTTTTTATACAAGAAAAATTTAGTCACGTAAATCAACATACCAGATAAAGAAGGATAATGTTGAATTACCGGTATAGCTATTTTTCTAATTAATTTTAAGCCTGGATAGATGGAATTCTGCAAATTCCTCATTAACATCACTACCAAAAACTTTTTGTCAAAGGATATAAAGCATACAATTATTATAAATAATATTACGAACATACTTTTTACAATAAAACAAAGATTAACTTTCTTCTCTTTCTTTTCAAGAATACGAAAGGAATTCTGTAAAGCTTTATCAATTTCATTTTCCGTGATACCATTTTCCCGTGCATATTGACGAATCTTTTGCAATTGTTCTTTATATACCTCTAAATTGGCCATTCTTTCAAGAACATGAAATAAAAATAATAAACAACGAGTAACATTTATCGAAACCGAAGTATGCAATACATTGTGCAGTTTACATATAATGTCCATTACAAAATAAAATACCAGATCTGCAAGTCTACATTTGGTTTAAGTACAAAGCTACGCTCTCTATCAGAACATTGTTAAACTAACTATAACAATATAGTTATTACAAGCCAAGTTAGTTACAATAAACTCAACATACACAAACAAGATACTTTATTTTCCAAAAATATCATAGAATTACTAACAATATTAATAAAAATATTAATAACAAAAAGGAATTTAAATAGATTTGAGGATTAAACACATATTACTGTACAAATCTGTTTCACTGTAATTGTTTCACTTCATTTATCATCATAAATCAAATGTTTAACATCAATTATCATAAAACTACAGAAAGTCCCTAACTAAATTATATCTAAATTTTATCATTGTTGTCGAATTTATTCCCACTAAGATTTATAACAATCAACTTCATAAATGTTACCATTTCAAATTTAATGTCCAAAATGTTTCAAAGAGTGCTTAAGATATATATACTTTTCATTCTTACTCATTATGAAGTAACAAAATCAATACACGTAACAAACAACTTTATTTTCACTATTATATCTACATAAACAATGCATTTTAGTTAAATCACTTAGTAGGGTTTACTTCCTCAGTATTTTTAGGAGGATTGGCATACAATTTTTTATATAATTTTTCATATTCCTCCTTAAGTTTCTCTCTTTGTGCAAAATATTTCGGATATCTAGCTTTTTCAACCGGATCCCAGAAATCCATTACAGAATCTGGTGGCACCACAAAACGTCCATGAGCTATCCCACCTGGGCTATTAGCAAAGATTGATGGATCAGGATGTTTATTTTGAAATAATTCTTCTTCCGCAGCCAATAACAATTCTTTGGCAACGCGAAGATCTTTTATGTTTCGATTTTCTTCGAAACGTTGTCTCAATAAAACTGCGTTGTATCTAAATTAAAGTAATATATATTGATAAATACTTCTAAAATTCTTTTAATATATTACATTTTAATAATTAAATATTAAAACTTGAAGTAAATGGCTACATGTATATAATAAAAAAAGATGATTGTAAAATATTCAAAAAAAAATTCACAATATAAATTTATTAGACTAGTAGCTTATTAATTAATATAAACATTAATTACTAACAATATATACAGAATGAAATAATAAAACTTTAAGTGAATAATTGAACATATAGTACAAAAAAAGATAATTATAGAATACTTGTAGAAAACATTAATTGAACTATATAATAAAAAAAAGACAATTATAGAATATTCAAAAAAGTTCAGAACATAAATTTATCAGACCTAATAGCTCATCATTTAGTATAAATAATAATTTACTAATACATTTAATGATACATTACAAAACAATGATTACAATAATGATTACACCAATACATTAATGATAAGTAACAAAACAATGATACATTAATGATACATAATAAAACAATGATTATATAACAAAACAAGTAACAAACAAATAAAATTACTTGGAAATAAAACAAGCCAAGTTATCAACATCGAGTAAAATTTGTTTATTTATAGTAATTCATATTAGAACAAAAAAAATAATTATACAGTTAGATTTAAGTAAAACATTTCTTTTTACCTATATTCGTGTCTTTCAATATTCATATCTTCTATCGCGCGTAAAGCACGTTTGTAGAGACTACATACTTTTCTAGTATGGTTAATAAATGGTGATGGTAACTGTGCCATTCCTTTTTTTAGATTCAATATTAAAAATTCAATATTACTTTTCTTGAATATTATTGATATCGTTCTGTCTATCTCGAGACTACTTAACCAAGCTTGAAATTAAATGTACCATAGTCATGAACTATATAACACAACTGATGGTACTGTGGTAACGGATGGTATTGATGGTAATGTGGTAGAAATCATGAAATTCATAAATTATTAATTTTTCAGATACAAATATCATTGTATTATAAAGTAAAACAGTAATATATAAAACAACATTAAGCATATAATAGAACATACAATTTTTTGAATTTAATTTCTTTTTATCTTTCGTTTATCTCCTTAGTATTTAAACGAAGCATCTTACGAAAAAATTTTATTCAATACTCTTTACTTTCGTTCGTAGAATATCCTCCTATTAATTATTCTTCTTTGTCACATTCAGAATTAGCTAGATTCAGATATACTTGATAAATTTTCAATCTTTAATGAAAAAATTTTGTTCTTTCCTCTCGTTCCACTTATTTTTTTCACATAAAATCAGCTCTTTGAACTACCTACTCGGTTGAACTACCAGTTACGAGACACTCTGTCTACCGAGACATGGCAACAGTAGCAAAATTAAATGTTGCATTGAAAAGAAAAAAGAAAAAGTAAAACTGATTACGGCAAAATTCTCAAATACATGATACGTACATATAACACAAAGTGCAAAAAACAAATCGAGGATTTCCGGTTAAACAGCGCAACGGAAGTTTAGTTAATCGCAAAGAATGGCGATTGTCGTTTTATTTACGGGTCCTTTGTTTTTCAGCACACTTAACGACCGATTTTTAGGACGCGACACGGACTTTAGCTTCCTTAGTAATTAAAAAAACTTTCAATCACATCGTTCAAATTTTGTTATTTAACTCGAACAGCAATATTCGTGGCAAGGAGCATATAAAATTTAAATTAACCAACAAATCCAACTTTCAATTCCATTCTCAATTAAATAAATTGTTTCAGTTTTTATTTGTAAAAAAGATTTGATCGTAACGTCAAATCTACATAATCAAATCTACACTCATTTTGATCTACCTGTTTATCTGATTCACAATTAACAATAAAAAAATAACCGAGATTGATTTGATTTTATTTTACAATCTTAAGTAAATTTTACGTATTTATATGTATATATCGTGAATCGAATTTGATATTTTCACGTGACAACAAGATCCTCGTTCGGTCATCGAATCGAAAACATAGGATCGAGTTTTCAACATTGACGACGACTAGTTTGCCTCTTCGAGCGATTTTCAACGGACGAAATGGTGCCGACGATGCCGCCTGATTCGCATAAAATTTCGCTGAAGATCATCGAAGCGATAAAACAACATCCAGTTTTATACAGCGCCGAAGTGAAAGGCTCCTCCATCAAGCTTCAGGAATTTCGACAGAAGGTTTGGAAGAGGATCTCGGATGAGCTTGGTCTTGATCGTACGATCTACTTTTCTTCTTTCGCTTTTTCTAGGATAATTGCACGCTTGTATTGTTGATATACGTTACTGTTTTTCATTTACTGGCGATTTCAACGATCACGTGCTCAGCAATTTCGTTTCGTCGATCTCATTTCGGTGAATATCGCGAAAGTTCAACTTGAAAAGATGATATTCGGATATTTACCTAAAAGAACGTAAGCAGCAACGTGTGATAACTTCCAAATTTACGTTTACATGAATATTTAACAGTATGTTAGGAAAAAAATTTACTTAAAAATTACTACACTTAACAGCACTTAAAAGATATTTGAAGGAACATATGTAGTTGTGCATTGCATAAAAATGTTCTGTTTTATTTTTGTATAATTTTTATTATGATATTAAGAATATATATGTATATTTATGTAACATTTTATTCATATTTTTTGCAAGATGTTTTAACTTTATAAACTGGTATGTATGTAAATATAATCAATATGTTTTTAGCCACCTGGGTAAGACTAAGATGGAAAAACTTAAGAGATACTTACTGCCGTATACTTAAATATAAGAATAAGACGGAGAAAGGTGTTCGTAGGAAGAAATGGATTTTTGAAGATCATCTTAGTTTCTTAAAATTTCCGTAAGAATATTATGTAATTTTTTTAACAAGTTTCTATTTAATAGTAATTTTATTAAACTTGCTTGATATATGTATATTTATTTTCTCAAATAAAATAATCGGATATTAATGAAAATGTTCCTTTAGGTATGAATTGGATTATCAACCTCAAAGTATAGAATTAACTGAAGACTACATACAGGATATAAATGCAGGTGGAATTAGTTCTGAAGGTCTTTTAGAACAATTAGAAGATCGCAATGATGAGGACTATAGTGAATATTTAGAAGTTTTAGAAGAAACAACCGCAGATCCAGTTTTGGATCGTGATTCTATGGAATTAAATGATAATGGCGATAATGTAGTGAAAAGTATAGAGGTAGAAAACGCAGTACAACATGATATTGATTCATATGCTCAACAAATTCAATCAAAATATAGAAAAATAAGACCAAAAAAAATGAAAATTGATTCATTGGAAGTGCCTACGACCTACAGTATTTTGAAAACTTCATCTTTTAAAAATAAAACAATTGATACACCAATTTTTGTTACTACACCAGTTGCAAATAATTCTGTAAAAAGTTCTTCTAAAGTTGAAGTGAGTAGAAATGGTACATAAACTACAGTTTAACAAGTTAAGTCAGCAGTAGTAAATAGATGCACATGACTAAGGAGCGTGTTTTGCGTTTTTAAAGAAAATTTTGCAGAAAAGAAAATATGAAGGACACAATAAATAAAGTCAATTTTATGTAATTAAAATCTCTCCTGAATTCAAGTTATTGTCATTCGCTGACCAATAGCTTTGGCTCTTTGTCTTTATCAATAGCTTACTTGACTTTTAGCTATTGATAGCTAAGTTTTGTTTAATACTGCTGACTGAACTCACTTTAACAAACTATAGTATTTTATAATTAATATCGTTTCATAATTTAACATTGTATGTTCTAGGACACACAAAATAATTATGACCAAGTCTACCTGGCCCCTGAAGGAAAAAGTAGTATAGAACTTTTCTTTGATAGTATGGCACAAACTGTCAAACGACTCCCTCCAAAGGCTCAAGCAGATATTAAAATGAACATTTGTAAAATTGTAACAGAAGCAGAGCTTAAGTATTCTGGACGTAATATACCTCAGAGTACTCAACAATTTATTGCGCCACCTGGAATGATTCCAAAATTAGTTCTCATTCCGTGTAACATGATTGATGGACAAAATAACAAAGATTGATTATTTATAACAATAATTATTTCTTTCAAAAGAATTATTGTGATTTACTGTAAATTGCTTTACTGTAGATTGGTTTACTTTATTACAAAAGAAGAGTATTATAATAACAATTAAACTGTGAATAAGTTTAAACATAAATGATTTTTGTATTTAATACTCTGTTTCATTTTTTAACAACCTGGAAGAAGTGTATACATAAATAAACGTTATACGTTAAGCTGTTGTTACACATAAATATAGCTATTTTAATAGAATTATCGTCGTTTTAAAACTTCCCGTTCATACTTTATATCATATCTTTAAAAAAAAAAAACAAACTTAAAATAAATTATCAAATGTACATACGTAAATGAAATTTTTGAATATGTGGAATATAATATATTAAAATAATTAAAAAATAAATAGATAGTATTATCTATAATATATCTATAATGTGTATACATGTACATAATACACTACATATGATATAATTCATCTCTTTTATAATTATAAATATAAAAAAATTGATATGAAAAGTTGTTTCATTTTACAAATTTACTTTTACTCTCATTTTATAAATAAGTTTTTTATTAAGTATATTGTATCTAATTCTATTAATTTGCAATATATTTCAATAGAAATAATAACAGATAAATTTTAATTCAAAATTAAATCAGCTTCTAAACAAAGAACTGCAACGGCGTATTAAATTGCGATAAAATAAAGTTTGCCAACAAAGATTTCTTTGAAGAAAACAAAGATAAAGATGTGCGCGTTATCTCAATGTAGTTTGTCAAGAAAAAAAATTATTGAAGTTTTTAATGTTTATCTTAATGCATGTTATCACGTGCAGGAAATTTTATATAATTGTGAGGTTACCGGTTAACAGCAATGGTAATAAAATTTTAGTCGAGTTTAGTGTAAAACTTGAACGATCGTGAAAATGTTGCGTTTTTTCGTAAAACTGGAAGAACAAAATAATTTTCTACAAAAATGCCTACTTTTACAAACGAAAAGAACCTATTCGAAAAAGGTAATATCGTGAAAACAAATATTGAGGTTAATTGTTATTTGTTATTTAATATATGTTACTTGTTTTGGTTCTGCAATTTATTTTTATTTTTTACGTACAGAAATTTTAATTTACTTAGTATTTCACGTGCATTTAATAATTCACAATATTAAATGTTAATTAATAAGTTTTATTACATTTTATTTGTACAAAGTGTATGGCCTGATACTTATTATATTTCCAAAATTTGTAAAAAAGGAAGAAATGTTTGCTTTATTAATTTATGTATGTTAATGTATATTTATATTTGTTCTATTAATTCATTAATCTGTTTACTATCAAATGAAAATGTATATATATGAATATATACTTTATTTTGTAGAAAAGTTAAATTAATTTCATACAATTTCATAGAATTTTGCAGCAATTTTTACTTTTGTACTTTTAACATATATGAATACAAATGAAATACTTATTTTATATTATTTATAGTTTAAATTTGCTTTGTACTAACTAATATAATAAAATACTTTAAAATATTTTAGTTGATAAAATCTTTTAGTTGATAGCCTAATAATGAAGTAATTCAGAGAAAAATTATTTTTATGTTCAAATAAACTCAGTTATTTCAAACGATTATTTAAAATTACTTAAGACCTTGGTGACCTAAATTTACATGGATGTAAATCCTCAATTAGATCTCTGAGAATTAAAGAAGATCTATGATAAATAAAAGATTAAAAACGCTGGTTTAGAGAATAGGAATGGAAATGTTAAAATTTGGAAAGATAACACTGTATGTATCATCTGTTTCTAAGGATTGCTAGTTTAGAATAACATACATATATTATTTGTTAATAGCTGAGTATATTGTATGTATCATAACTATGCTCAAAACAATTTACTTGGAGGTTTTAGAAACCAATCAATGTAAGTCATTTCTTATTAGAAATAATTTATCCTAAGTAAATAATCTTTTATTGTTAAAATCTTCAATTGATGAAAGAGTTTAATTATTATAATACAATTATTATAGTACTATAATGAAGTAATTAGTAATTTATACATTTGTAGGAAATTTGATGCAAAAATGCATAAGATGCATGTAATTAATACCTAGATTTCATTTTTCAAATTATCTTCATAAAATTACACAGTAATCTAATGACTTTATTATTCTATTGACTAAGAGTTGTGACAACAAAAGTATATTTGTGTGGCACAAATCATCTTTAATAGAAAATTACTTATACTGATGGAAAATTACTTACACTGTCATCCATATGTTGTTTTATATGATAACATGAGTTATATCACATAACAAATTGTTATATATCACATCACATGATATTGTTATGTCACATGATAATAAAGTACCATATCTCAAATCATTTTCTTTATCTTCTTCTTTCTGAAAATAAATATAGATTATAAAATGATAGAAAACTAGTTTGGTCTTGTTTCATGACATAATAGAATATTTTTGTGACACAAAAATTGAATTCAGTACACAATAAAATGAAATTGTAACAATAACTTTTATGAATTTAATTATTTTATATCTTATATCACATTTAGAGATATATCATGTATTTCACGATTGAGCACAGAATTTTTTTAAATCTAAACATGACGTAGTGTGTATTTATGTCTGTATTATTATGTCAACATTATGTGTCAATTATAAATATATTTACAATGATATTTTGTATCTTTTTATTTATTAATATCAAAATATTTCTAATAAAAATTTTTCTAATAAAGAAAAATTTTTTCTTTTATTTTTGACATTGCAAAAATTTGAAAGTATTTGTATGGCACATGGTTAAATTTGTTTTGATGTACGCTTTCATATGATATAAAAAAATGTATAGTATATAATATAATACATGAAAAGTATACATAATATATTAATATAAATATACGGTATATTTAATTAATATAATTAATTAATACGAATACATATACATAAAAAATATAATGTGTTTTATACACATGATATAAAATAAAAATATAATATATAATATAAATTTAAAAATACATATAATATAAATTTAAAAAATATGCATATTTTGTAAAAAATGGTACAAATACAGAAATGACATCATTATATTGTTTTCAAGGAACACTTTTCTCTCTTTCAGCATTTTTCTTCATACTTATTATTTACGAGTAAATCCATGAACATTTTATATTGAAAATAAAAAATAAAAAAAAGTTTATGTACATGGTTAATGTTTAAACAATACATCTACTAATGATAAAAGGTCATTAATATTATATATCAGTATTTGTCTTTTTATAATATAATCAATGTGCTTTTTTATGATATTTCTTCTTCTTGTAATAATATAATTTATAATATTTATTTATATGGAATTTTAACACAAATTGTTAATAATATAATAATAATATAATATCTTTTATGATATGTAGTGTATAAACTAAATATTAATGAATTACTTGACTTATTTTCCCATTCTTGGCTGCAATTAATTGATACTAATACTTTTTTTTTATATTTATTAATATTTATTAATATTTCAAATAAGTTCAGAAATCATTATCAATATAATTCAAATCATCTATCAAAGTTTATATTGTTTAACTATTAAAATTGGGACACGTTGTTACTAGTTTTTAGAATAGTACAATTTGTATTCTTTTTTCAAAGGTCATCGTTTCATATTTCATTAAACTCGTTTTAACGTCATTTACAATATCACATTGTAAAAATAAATGTTGATAATGTAAAAAGAGTGGATGATATTAGAATAATCGAAGATAAGTTTGAAGAAATTTCTTTTTTTATCATAGTAAAACAATTTATCACAATCAATTAGCATGACTCAAAACTATGTGTAATTTTAGAGGATTACTAAGATCGTTTTAATTTGCTCAGATCTCAGAAAGATCTCTTCAGCTCAAAAACCACCAATTTGATGCTCATCATAACAGCAAAATGATAGTATAGTTTCAAAAGTTTGCTCTTTAAATTAAATCATCAAATTATGCAATGTAAATATTTGGAACTTAGACTTCACGCTTGTTATTCTTCTAATGTGTTATATTATTTTTTAAAAACGTTCCATTTCTGAAATATGGAAGAAATAGAAAAATATTATGTAATTGGGAGTTACTTTTTCCTTTGATATTATAATCGTTTGTATTTTACGTTTCTGAGAACATAAAAAAAATTGTTTCATGATTAGATCCACTATGATTTTGAAGATCTAAAACTTGCTTATATTATTTGCAATTTGAAACATTTTTTGGTATTACCAACATCGTTTTGGTGATACTTTGAAGGAATTGTATAAATAATTTTATTATATATGTATATATTTTACGATTTAAAAAAACTATTATATTATTATATCATTCATTTACATGAGTTGATATAATTAAAAAAAATCATGATTTTTAGGGTAAACGAATTTCAATATTCTTCTTGTTATAATTCTGCATGATATTATAAATTGCATCTATAATATAGCATGATATCAAAGTGTCAAATTTTTATAATAATATTTCGAACTTACATAACACTCTTGGTTAAAAGTAAAAGTAACAATTTTTTTTTTCTACCAATAATTTTAAATTTTGTATTATGTGTTTATTGCAGCTAATAAGCGATATATATATATATATATACACATTGTATCAAATGAGAAGTTATATTTGTCAGTTATTGCATTAAATAACAGATTACTTTTTTCGCCGAATAAAATAATATATGTTACAATTCTTTTTAAAGTATATAAATTGTGAAATTCATATTAATAAAATATTTTTTAATATATCTACATGGAATTCTAAGTTATGTGGCATTTACTATTTTGTACATTTAATTATTTAATCTATTATATTTATATAATTTCACAGGATACTCCAAAGAAGATAATACCATTTGGGAAAGATCCTAAATCCATAATATCCAAAAAAATACAAAACAGTTTGGAAAAGGTAAAAGAGGCTCTTGTTGTAAGGGAGGTTGACGATATATTAACAGAATGGATGGGCCGACCACAAATAGTTCCACAAGTATGTGATGTTGTAATAATTGGAGGTGGTGCAATAGGTAGTTCTATAGCTTACTGGTTAAGGAGACGAGTTTATACAGAAGAGTTCAAAGTTGTAGTAGTAGAGAGAGATCCTATGGTGAGTTTGTCAGAAGTAAATTTAAATGAATATAACAGTACAATTTAAATGAATATAATATGTAATTTTATAAAAATGGACCTATTGTATCCTATTCTAAAAGATTGAAATTTGTTTAATTGAATTCAAGTAATAAAGTTGCAATTAAATAAAGAAATCTATTTACATATAAAATATTAATATTAATATTTATTTCTAGTATACTACAGCATCGACAACTCTTTCTGTTGGAGGTCTACGTCAACAATTCTCTCTGAAAGAAAATATTGAAATGTCTCTTTTTGGTGCAGAATTTTTACGCAATGTCAATAGCTATTTGGGCATTGAAGGAGAATCTCCAGTTGATGTATGTTTTCATCCATATGGATATTTAACATTAGCATCTGAAAAAGGAGCTGCAACATTAATAGAAAATTCTAAATTACAAAATTTTCTTGGAGCAAAAAATATTTTACTATCACCTGCTAAATTAAAAGATGTATTTCCTTGGATAAACACAGAGGGTGTTGAATTGGGTTGTTTAGGATTAGAGAAAGAAGGTTGGTTTGACCCGTGGGCTCTTCTTTCTGCTTTTAAGAAAAAAGCAATAATTTTGGGAGCAAAATATATCAGCGGAGAAGCACAAGGATTTTTTTATAAAGAGTCTGGAGATGCACTGGATGGATTAATTGTAAGATTCAAATTTAATTTTATTGAAATAATATATTAATTATCATTTTATTTTTTTATTTAATATTTGTATTACTTAAAAATATGTAAATATTTGCTTACCAAGAATGTAATTTTTATTATATTCAATATTACAAGAAATAAAAATAATAATAATATATTATTAATAAGTATAAATATTATTATATTATTATTATTATTATTATTATTATTATTATTATTATTATTATTATTATTATTATTATTATTATTATTATTATTATTATTACATTCTACTGTTTTATTATTGTGGTATAATAAAACTGATTTTAAATTATTTTACAAGTAAAAGAAAAATTTATGAGTATATTCTAGAAATATTACTTATTGCTAAATATCTGCATAATTTCTAAAATAAAAACAAATAAGATACGCTTTTCTTTTCTTGTCATACATGTAGTCATTTATAAGATTTAACAATATCCTGGCAAGGATACGTTTTATCTCGTCATTATGAATTAATGAAAACATATAGCTATATATTTCATACTGTATTTTTTATTTTTATTTATATTATTCTTTCCTCACCATTATATTGCTATTATATATTATATATTACATATGTATGAACATTCAGTACATATGAATATCTTTAATTATTTCTATTCTATTAGTTTAACAATTAATGTCTTTTACATCTTTTGTCAGATAAAAACGAAAGAAGGTGAAATATGTAACATGAAATTTGCTATTGCCATTGTGGCTGCTGGTGCTTTCAGTGGACAAATTGTAGCTAATGTTAAAGCAGAAGATAAATTAGAACAAATAAGTTTGCCTGTTGAACCAAGGTATAATTATTAAGCACCTCGAATAAGTACGAAATGAAAATTTATATTACTAATCAATGTAATTCTGACATAAATATTGTTAATGTCATAGGAAGAGATATGTTTATTGTTTTCATTGTCCTGATGGCCCAGGTTTAAATACTCCATTAACAATAGATTATACCGGAACATATTTCAGGTAAACTTATAAAATAAAAAGTTCTTTCTATGAATTAATATCTTGAAACTGAATATCTGACTGAATGTTTTTTGTTTTGCGGTCAATTCGGTCAGTCAGCAGACCAATCAAATCTGTCAAAAAACCATATCGTGTGAATTGGCTGTTACATACATACATATTATTAACAACATAGCATAATATAACATATTAATATAATGATAACATATTATTGCACAATATGATATATAATATCTCTCTAATATTTATTTTAGGAGAGAAGGTCTGGCAGGTACTTATATTTGTGGAAGATCACCAGAGGAATCTGAAGAACCTAGCATTGAAGATTTAAGTGTTGATCACGATTACTTTGATGAAAAAGTTTGGCCTATACTTGCGCAAAGAATTCCAGCTTTCGAAAAATTAAAGGTTTGTTTAATTTACACAAATTTTATATTTAAAATGCTAATGTTCTCAATAAAATATAAATTATATTTTTTACCAAGGAAGATGTTTAGAATAAATTTAGAAATTTTTATAGTATTATCACTTGAACTAGAAATAGTATGAACACAAAATAGATAGGAAAATTCAGGATATTCAGGATAGTTTAGGATATTCTTATATTGCTTGTGATTCGAGAAATGTTTAGAAAGTTTCGATATCTGACTTCGGATCAATAATTCGATAATTGGATGCAACTCAGCTTCTTTTTAACAAAAGCTTTCAGGTTTTCAAATTAATCACTTTAAATTATCGGCATTGAATCGATCATTATGTTGAATTGATCTGAAGCCAGACTGTCCACTTGTGCTTGTCGAGGAAGTTATTAATGTTTACGGTTTGATTACATTTGCGGATACAACAATTTATTTCGAAAACACGCCATTAAACTGACCATCATTTCGACAAAGATTTCTCCCTAAAACTGAACGCGATCCCATATATATATATTGAATATAAAATAGGGAGAGAGTATTGGCGAATCTCTGTCGTAGTGACTAAAAGAGTCTTTCTTATTAGAATTTTGGAATTAGCCAAGATAAATCGTTGGTTTTAGCATAGTAACTCATCTCTGGTTATCAGCGAGTCACTCAGTTAGTTATTCAATACTTATGTTTCTAATTGAACTTGGAATCTCTAACAATATGAAAATATTTAAAAATTTAAGTTTTTGAATCTTGGTACATTTACACAGAGATCTTTGCTAGATACACTTAAAATTATTAATTTTATATTGCATAAATATTTAACATTAAATGTAACATAATGTATTATAAATTAGTTTTGAATATGATTTACTTAACATTTAATATTTTATATTTTATAATATTTTTACAGTTAAGGTCCTCTTGGGCAGGATATTATGAATACAATACTTTTGATAAAAATGGAATAATTGGAGTACATCCATATTATCAAAATTTAATTTTTGCAACTGGATTTAGTGGCCATGGAATCCAACAATCACCTGCAGTAGGCAGAGCAATTTCAGAACTAATTATTGACGGTGAATTTAAAACACTTGATCTATCAAATCTCGATTTCAAAAGAATTATTTATTCTAAGCCTATATGTGAGGCAAACATTGTTTGAAATATTTATTTCAATAGCAAAAATTTGTTATATTTGTATATAATAATTTGGATAGTAATATATGAATAACAGTTGATGTATTTCATTTGTACATAATAATATTTAAAGATTGAGCTGTTTAAGATTTAGATTTATTTAAAAATACATACATATTTACTATACATATGTACATACTTGTTTCTCAAATCATTTTGTATAACCTATTTATTATTTTTGTATTACTTATATATATATCATCTGTGATTTTGATAATCATTTTATTTTAAAGAATGATTTGTAAACAGGCAGATTATTAAAAGATCATTAAAAAAAGCAGATAGATATTGCTATTAGAAAATATATAATGATCTTTAATAATTTCAATATTTTTATTTGAAGAAAATAAATATTAGATAAAAAATGAACGATTTGAATTTTCTACTTGTTCATATTAATACTTTTACATCTAATTAAAGTCTTAACTGGTTCAAGATAACTAATTCTATTATTACAATGTGAATAAATATAAAATTTGCTTCAATGTATCAATATGTATTTTAAATAGATAATACAGCTCAGTTGTACTTATACTATACATACTCATTTTGATTTTCGCTGCGTATGTAAAAAGTAAGAAGACAAAAGTACTAAATAAGCGAATATATTGATTATTGGCGGTCATTGATCATTGAAGATCCATTAGAGTCATAATATTAAATAGTATTGCTTTGTTGTTGAATTCTCTAATTATAACTACTAATTATGTAACAAATAAAACTTATTCTAGTTATCTTATTTTTATATATAAGAGATAATAAAATTTTGTTTCTTTTCTAATTTTTTCAATCTATTATTCATGTAAATTGTCTACAAGCTTTTAGTAAACATTTAAAAATATAATAAAGTTTTGATGAACATTTTGAACATTAATGCTTCTTAACTCAGAATACGTCAGAAAACTTAGAAAAATATTTGTTATCTTAATTTGTTTTAATAATTTAATAAAAAATATTTTAAGTAAATGTTATCAATTTATAAATACAGTAACTGTCAGGTATATATATATATACACACCATTCCATTTAAGGAAGACGAGGAAGATCATTTTGACCATTTAATAAAATGAATTCCTTCAAAATATGTGCATTTTGACTACCTTTCGAACTGAAATCGGCAGCACCCGTTGCTGCGAAATCTCCCTTTATAATTTCCTTCTGTTGTAATTGCGTATTTTATACGTTTTTGGAAAATTTACAGTTTTAAAAATATATACAATATGCATATACAAATAATGTATAAAAAATATCCAAAGTAGATAAAATATCCAAAGTAGAATATATTATAACATACTTCTGTTTGGCAGGCAAACGAGTATAAGTCAAAATTATTATTTAAAGAAAAATGGAAAACACGTGAAGTATTTGAAAGTACAGTATAAGATTAAGTGTTAAATTTTGGATGTAAAGATCAATAATATTTGTCTTGGCTTATTGACTTATAAAATATACATTATATTTAATTTCGAAACGTTTTTTTTTTTTTTCTTTAAATTATGATTTATATTACTTTGATCACAGTTGAGTTTGACTTATACTTATTTGATCAAATAATATTTGTGACAGTTAAGAAGTTTTACAAAAATACTTCAATTAAAACACAAGTTGAACAAAACAAACTTTTATTTTTCACAGAAACAGTCTTTTATTTGATAACTAAGTAAATTTTATTCAGTTTTATAAAAGCTATTTAAAAAAAAAGAAAAATATAGTATTTTTTTTAAACTTAGAGAGATCCCCTTTAATTTCCTAGTAGTTATCTCAGAAAAATCTCTTGTTTTTTAAATAATCAGGCCTTCGGTAGCATTGAATTAAAAAAAATTCACAGCTTATAACACTTTATGTGAACTACCTTGCATGTATATTGATAAAATACATATGTGTAATTTTGTCAATACTTGTTTCACATACATTTTATTTCTTTTATTTTAATATTTATTGAAGCATTTATTGAATTGTCTTCTTTGAGAAATTGCCTATCAGTTTTGGTCATTTAAACTAAACGAATAATTAATAACATAGAATACATTTATTAAAAAAGTCGTAAAGATGCATGGCATTTATTACACTACTACTGTTCAAAACTTTTATACAGAATGTTAGGAACATAGAATTGTAATAATTCTTATTGTAATATTGAAAATAAATCAGAATATTTTGTTTTTGTCTATAATCTACATGTGCAAACACATACAAATAAGCTACAAATAAGCTTATAATTTAATAAGCTTATTAATAGAATTAAAATTCTATAATAAAATGTAAAATTCTATTATATTATAATAAAGCAACAAAGTTTGCAATCACAAAGTTATTTTTATTTTTTAACATAAATATTACTATCTGAAAATAATTATTCATGAATTATCTTAGCATAAATTTAAAAAAAATTTGCAACGTACTTACAAAATCGCAGCCAATATAATTAATATATGTATATAATATCTTTTTTACGTTGTATTGAACTAAGTACTAACATAATTCTAAAGTTGTAGCTATTTTCGTTATTGAATAAATATTGTTTTTTTTATATTGATATAATTAATATATTTAATAAATGTTTTCAAAATTCATCATCTTCATCGTTAATACTGGATATAAAGTATTAGGTATAATTTTTCAGTATGTTTGTAGTATCTTTAGTATCACAATTAATGGAATAAAAAGTAACAACGAAAAATAATTTTAATTAGATGAACTTCCATTGTAATACTTATTTATTAAAATAAGATTTATTTTGACTCCTTTTATATAATGCAACAATATGTGCACGTGAAACTTCATCATTTTATATGTATAAATCATAAGCAATATATAAAATAACAAACGTGTATAGCATCATAGAATAAAAGAAATAGTATTGAAAAAGCAGAATAGTAACATAATAAGAAATAATAACAAATAAGTTATAAAATAAAATAAAATTTATCTCCCTATTTAAAAATTAATCACAGAAAAGATAAAAGCTAAATTCCGAAAGGATTTATTCTGTTTGTGATTAAGTTCAAAATTCATCACAAAATCATTTTGTAATTACAACTAAGTAAAAAGTTTTACTATTATAGTTTTAACGTTTTAAAAATTTTGTTTTTATATTTTGTATCTAAAAGATAAAATTAACTTGAAATAATATTAGAATTATTTAATAATCAAATCAATGTAAATAAATATCTCTTACACTTGAATAGGTCACAATAAAAATGGGAAAAAAGTAAAATTCCTTTCAGAATTCGAATCACTATCATTTTTGTAGGAGATAAGTTTGATAAAATAAACTATATTTCAGTTCGTATCAGTTTACTGTATTTCAATGCTGAATACGGCGTATTATCAGTTAAATGCAAATAAATACGCGCACATCGAAGCAGTAACGGCGAGAAAAAGATTATCAATTCTGACATCCAAGCCGCTCTACGATCAATGTGTCTAAAAATTTTTATAGTATACGAGCGGAACCAGCCGATAGCATTTCTTTTTCTTTGCTTTCATTACACAAATTAAAAATATAATTATCTAAAACAAATATATAATAGGTTTAAAAAAATATAAAATAGAAACTTTATTTGTTAAATAAATTTAACAATATTAAAAATCAAAACTGACATTTGAGAAGTATTTATTTATAAATGAAATTTAACTCGGTGAATTAAACGAAAAAAATAAAACAATAATTTTTAACAAATAAATAGTTAACAACCAGAAAAATCAAAATAGTAACATAAAATTGATGTAATATTGTTTAAATAAAAAGTTATCGTACTTATATTAAAAACCGAAATAATGAAAAAATAATGATATTTAATAAAAGTAATGTGATGTTAATTACTATAACAAATAGTGAAAATATAACGTAGCAATAGTTAAATAATTCGAAAAATAAATAAATAGTCGAGGAACGATTGATTTTTTCGCAGTCTAAATTTGTTCTTACACTAATAATATATAATGAGTAAACTATGCTATGCAATATAATGCGTAATAAATATACTAATGATGTATAATACGTATTAATAATCAGATAAAAGACATTATGATATCTTTTATATTGATATAATAGAGAAACGTGGAATGATGTGTGTTTTGTTTTTTTTACATTTACAATGGTCAGAGAAAATAAGATTATAATGAGAATTTATTATAGAATTTTCTCATTGTATTTTTATAATTCAATAATTTATATATGTAATTGTTGCTAAATTGTGATGTAATTATTTTCGATTAAATTAAAAATTGATTACATTTATAAATTATTGAATTATTTTCATATATATTTTATTTAAGATTATTTTTAAATCTAATGTAATTTAATGAAGAATTACTTTACAAATACTACCTATCTTTCGTTTCAGTTCTTCCACATCTCTCTTATATTATTATAAAACTACACTTCACTTCCTCGAAACTCAACACTGGAAATAAATTTGTTTGACCAGAAAAAAAAAAGAAAGAAAAACTAATGCTTCCGGCCGATTGATCCGTAATTTAATAAAAGAGCGAGTGTAACGCAGACTTGAGCGCCAGTCGATTGCAATTTTATTCGAAAATTCACGAACAATTTCCAAATTGATTAGCAATGAAAATTATTCAAAAAAATACAATTTCTTTTCAAACGGTTTCATCTACAAAGAATGCTGGGTAAAACAATATTTTATATAATCATTTCGAAAATATAACAATAATATAATAATATAATTTCATCTTTAATTTAAATAAGTATTTTAAATTAAAATAATATGTATATATTATTTAATATCTAGTATTCTATTTATGGACAAAGTGGCAATTCAGTTACAAAAACAATGTTCGTTAATTATTCGAATAAAAGGTTTTCGACTTTCAAACGAAAGAAGGCGCGTGTAACTTTGGATAGAAAGAGGTGTGCGGCTAAGAGAGCTGGCCTGTGTGTTCCAAGATAAAAAGACGAAAAAAGATCATTTAATCCTCTTTCTCGGCTTTTTCAACATCTTGTTTTTCTTCAGCCTCTGTGTCTCCCTCAAATTTCGGTCCTGGTGCTTCTTCTCCTTCAAGTACAATTTCTTCTGGATCAGGTGCACGTGGGAGGAAATCTTTATCAGGATACATAGATTCAAAGATGCTCTTCGCCTTAAAAAATTTTGAAAATTTATAATAGTATAATTTATAGTTTTTGAATTTTAAGTTAAAACACCTCTTTAAGTTAAAAGCTCAATTATGTTAAGATAAAATAATAACCTGAAAAAATTTACCTGATTGACTGCAAAATCGAAGTCAAGTTCTAAATCTGGTCCTGAACATAGATGAAGGTTACTTGGTGTAGATTCATTTAATTTAATATCACTTGCAGGTAAATTTAAGAACAATGACCATAAAACTTGAGGCTTTGGACTTTCTTCTGTAGATTCTTCCTTGTTATCTTGATCACCCTCCTATATATAAAATTTGATTTTTAAACATCAAAGAAACATTTTTAATCGTTTGTCAAATTTTTAATTTTAGCCAAAAATTAAAATTGCTTTATAAAAAAAGAAAGATAATTCATTGAATTATATTAATTTTTAATAAATTATTTCACAAATAATATTATACACAAATTTATATTTTTAATACTTGAGAAATGAAACACTATATTACAAATTAGCAAAGTAGCTTCCAATTTCTTTTGTAATGAAATTTGTTTCATGATTCTAAGGTAAACCAGAATAATAATGATACAAATTTAATGATATAATTTTTCTGTAGTTCAAAAATTTAAAAATAAACGTATTAGTAGTTATATTTACTTTACAAGGTATGTGTGTCAAATATATGTACATAATGCGTTATAAATATTTGATCCCTAATAAATGATTAAAAATAATTATTATACATGTAAGAAAACAATTGAAAATTTACCATATACAGGAAACATACCTGAATATGTCTTTTATCAGGAGAAACAGTCTGTGTATGGCTATGAATAGATGAACGAATGGCTAGTGGGTCAAGAGGCTCAGCTTTTAAAAATTTATTGACAACATAGGCCAAGTCTTCTTTTGCATTTGTTGTTCGTTTGCATGTCATATGAACCATAACTATTTTGGAATAAATTAACAAATTCTCAAAATCTAGATTTTTCACGTATTATAAATTTTGTATAAATATAATACATACACAATCCTTGAGGACAAGCATTTGTAGATGGTCCCAATTCAATCAATGTAACAGGTTCTTGATCAGGTTGTTCTGGAGGATAATATAAAAGTGTCAAATTTTCCTTCTCACCTTGCATAATTGACCTACAATAAACATTTTATTTGAAAATTTTACTAGCAAATGCTAATTTGGTTTAATGGAAAATAAATATTGAAAATTAATTTCAAATTCAAGACCTTTTATTATTATTGTAAATTTATTATTATTTATAAAAATAAATATCTTCCTATTAAAAAACTTTATTTTACAATTTATACTGCTTGATTATATTAATTCAGTTTTCATAAAAAGAAGAATATTTTTGAATTGCAGAATATATTTTTTTTATTAAAATTATAGTTCAACGTAATTATTCTTCTTTTTGTTTTTTATAATTATAATTAATTGTTCAACTTTTTATTTTTTATAATTATTACCTGTCTGTAATAAAGATTCCACGTGATATCCGCTGTTCTCCTTCGGACGCTACAACTTCCGGTGGCAAATGACCTTGACCAAGAACTAAATGTTCCAAACTTATTTTTTGTTTGCCACTAATGATAGCTTTACATTTATTTTTATGTATTACTACACCATCAAGCTGTCTTTTTAAACAGTAAACTCCTCCAAATACTGCACATAATCTGTAATAGTAGTAATGATTTTTTTAATTATAATATTTACATAATTGAATATTATAATAATAAATTATTATAATTAATACATGTTTTAATAATACATTATAATAAATATTACATTACATTATAATAGATAATAATAGATAAATAATAAACTATTATATAATAGTAGATAATTATTATATAATTATACCTGCAGAAACACTGAGGTAATTCTCCACTACCATACATAGGCCAGAGAAAGGGTGTATTTCCATATCGTCCAAGACTATTCAAAAAATGTTTTGTGCGGTTCACACCATCTCTACAAGAGGTTTTTTCAGTAGCCATAGCAATCGCTTGAACAACATAATGCTGCACAATTGGCGTCAAATTTTTTGTATTTAAATATTCTAAGAAGGTTTTATCACGGAATCCTATGAATAAATATTATTTAATTAAACAGTAATAACAAGTATAATTAATAAATTACATTGATTTGAATCTTACTACGTAATATCTTACATAATTTCCCAATAATATCATTTTATGCACAATTTCCCACGAATTATTATTTAATTATTGTTTAATTATTGTTCGTAATAGAATTTAAATTGACTCAATAAATTTTTTTTAATACATGTTATTCGAATAATGAAGAAATGATATTATATATATAGCTATCTTGTTTTAAAAAGCAAATAATTATTAAATAAGAGATATACAAATCTTATACTATCATAACATTCTACATGTATATATTTTTTTAGACAACATATTACTTTATTATATTATTATATAAATTATCATTAGACATTATATTATAAAATTAAGTTAAACCGAAAAAAATGATACCAGTAAATAATTACCATCAAATTCTGGACTATCTGCACCTTGCTCCATGCATGAAGTAAGTAGTTGCATTAACATTCTTTTCTCAACAACACTAACAGTTTTATTTGCAAATACATCAGCTCTTGAGCAAGGTACTTGTGTTAATTTCCCATCCATAAATGTAGCTACTCTAGACACTGCACGAAATTCCGCATAACGAGCAATGTTACTGGAGATTAAGAGCTCAACCAGTTCACCTCGTGCAAACAACAACTGTTTTAGAAAAATAAAATTTTAATTAATTGATAGCAATTTTTAATACAATGTATTTTTATGTAAATAAAATAATTATTGATAAGAAAAATATTTATATAAGACAAATAAGAAATGTTTAAACAAATTGAAATAATATCGATTAAATAGACCAAATAATATCCAAATAATTTAGATTTAATTACATACTGCATCTTTTTTTTCAGATCATTTTAAAATCATAAATAATCAAGTACATTTAAAGGCAGAAGAGATTAAAAATATAGTTATTCTGAATATATCCTAAAAAAAACCTTTAATTCTAAATAAATATTTTAAGTCTGGCGAATGATAGAAAGACAAAAAAATAGAAGATTCAATATCCATTAAACTAATTAACAAATAATTCAAACTTAATAAATAATTTATATTTTTAGCTTCAATAAATAATATTAGATTCATCAAACAGAATTTAATTCTGAAACATATTAAGACAAAATTATTTCCTTAATGATTTATGAATATAATTTTTATAATTATTTGTCTTATACTTAATATGTAATGATATTTTATATCTTCATACTTTTGGCGCCAAGTCAATATTAAACTTTCTGTATTCTTTTCTTATACGATCTATACTCCATTGTTTTACATTTTCTTTTTTTTCAACTTTATCATCATCAGATTTTTCATCACCACTTCCACTACCATCTCCAGTACTATCAGTCTGAGTATCTTTTGAAGAAACTACTGGCAGATCTGCATCACTATAATAAGAACACAATTAAAAAAAAAAACAGAACACAAATACACATGCATTTATAAAAACAAACTTACTTTGAAATATACCACGTTTCTTCAATATTTTCAACAGTTGAATATTCATTACTAGTTTTTAAAAATGTTTCTTCCGATTCCAAGTCTACTTCAGATACATCCTTAGTGCTGGTTTTAGAAACTTTTAAGTCTTCTATCCATTTCTGTAGACCATCAAAATTAAATGTTGCCCATAGACCACCATAATATTCATCACTACAAATAAATAAAGTATAATTATTCACTATTAATTAACAATTGAAAGTAATTATTACATTGAATAATTGTATTATAGAATTCAGAAATATAACGAATGAAGTCTTATTGTTCTTGAGAGTAACAAGTGTATATGTGAAGTTTGGGAGTAACAAAGTGTGCTAAATACATAATATTTTATTTTTTTCATGCAGAATCATTTCTTTCAATAATATTCTATATAACTATATAACACTAACTGTATAACTATGTACAGAGAGGATCATCTAAATGATCACCTTTGTTGTTTTTAAAGATAAACTTTTTAAAAAAAATTATTCAATATTAAGAAGGCCATAATGATTTTTTTGTAGGTACACATCCACTTTTTGAGATGTAATGATATATTTTTTTATCCATCTCGACATTCGCTATAAAAAAAGGATTCTTTATATGTTGAAAAACTGTTAGTTTAGGAGCTATTTTAATTTTAATTCTACAAAATCTATGCATAAAAGATAGTATGAATACAAGAATATTGTCTCTGTCTTTTCTTCTCTTTCATACACGTGCAAAAAAATTATTACTGCTATATTATGGTACTATATTTAGTACTGAATAACTTGTATTAACAAAGTTTATCTATGTCTCTAAAAACAACAAAGTTATTTAGATAATCCCATTTAACTGGTTCGTCCTGTATATTATGAATGTATAAATTTCATTTTTGAAACAATTTCTCTTTTTGCAAAAAAAAGTAAATAGGATACAAGATAGTAAAAGAAAATTAAATAATAAAAGATAATAAGATAATTAAATAATAAATAATAAAAGAAAATTAACTGTATAGCACTACCTAATTTTATGTTTGTAAACATCAACTTGAAAACTAGAAAAAAATTTTCTTGAATATATTTAAAAAGTTAAAAACAAATCCATTACATACAATATATGGTAATTCAATTCTTAGAACAATTTTATATACAATGTTCATACGTTAGCCCCCACGATTTCTTGGGTGGATAGACAAAAAAGTCTCAAATAAAAATTAATCAATTTTCGGTACAAGTTGCAACTTTTTTTTATTAAAAAATGTTTTACAAAATTTATTTTTATTAAAAAGTCAAAGCGAATTCAATGATCTACTGTATTATGTCTTTTTCAAAAACATAATAAATTCAGAAATCATGAATCGTTCCAGAATATGTAACGACAATAATATGAAATGAGCATTTAATATGGGACTTTTGCATTAATAAACATTCATAAATTGTTTAATCTGTTAATTGTTTAAATTTCTAGTAATTTAGTCAAGCTAAATATATGTACTACATGTACTATAATAAATTAATTGTTTTTCTTACAGAGAATTTTCTTGCTAAGAAAAGTTTTTCCTTTTCTTGTTCTAAAAGCATTTTACTTACTCTTTTATGAAAAATTTTCTTTGTTCAATAGTAGTATTAATAATGAATTATTTTCGATAAATATAATTTTAAATTATTACAGAAATTGTATATTATAATTATACGTATTAACTACATTATAACTATATTTATTTTGTATTCTATATATTTGTACATTGTTTGCGTATTATTTATAGTAGTTTTATTAAATTAATTCTGTTTTGATATATTAAAACAATTACGTTAATTTTTCGAACATCGCAATCTCTGAATATTAATAAGATATATTCATTGCATTATACAACACGTTTAATAATAAAAAAAATTTAAGTTTTAGACACCATGTAAAAAGTTTGCATATAGCAATCATTCAAAAAGTAAAATTTGAAAATGTTATTTAATAAAATCTAAAAAAAAGTTAGTCTGTAACAAAATATTATCATTAATACAAAAAGACCATAAACTTTCAATGGATATATATTGTTGTAATTATTTGATTGAGTGAATTAATATTTCATAGAAAGAGACGTAAAATTTCGTTTTTCATTGAAAGCACGTTGGGCACAATACTGATTTCATAACATTTAATTGCTTTGTTATCATACAATTTTTAAATCAAATCGCATAAACGATCAGTCGTAAATATTTACTTACATAATATCATTAATTTTACATTAGAAATATCGACGATATGAATGGAAAGTTTATAGTCCATCTAACGTGTATTTTTTTTTTTTTTTTATCTTCTAGTAAATACCATGAATTTTTCAAATCTTTTGTCATCCTGTATATATATATATATATATTTTTTTTTGTTCGCTTTATTTTTAATTTTATTTTTGAAAAAAATATTGATATCAATGCAATAAGAATGTCCACATTTGTTTAGGTATTTTCGTAAAGTAATCCCATGGAAATTTAGAAATACAAACGATATTAAATTATATATTTTGAGATACATGGGCAGGATATTTCGTAAATACACCTAATTAACCCTTTTTATTACCGATCGAGAAAATTGTATCTAAGCAAAAAATATTGAGCCAAGTTGGTGTAAGGTTTGAAAAAACAAATATAAAAATTCTGTGAAAAACGATAATTATAAAATTCAAGAAAAAACATATTAAGAAATAAAAAGAGAATTAATGTACTCAACAACGAATGTTGATTCAACAGAAATTTAAGTATATATATATATGTACATAAATGTACCTTTATTTAACGATACTTAATTTTATTAAATTTTATTTATAAGATTAATAAGATTAATTTCAGAGTATTTAATATATATATATTTTTCTAATTTTACGTAACAAATGAAAAAAATATAGAACATAAAATAGCATTGCTATACCACAGTAAAAAGATAATACATAATAAATTCGGATGTATCAAATATCAAATTAAAAAAATTTTTTAATATTCTAAAAGTAACGTTCCCGAAATATAAGCGATAAATATTTATTTATAGAATACGATGCAGCGAATTATACGATAATATATACGTACAATATTTTCTTTCATTAAGAGGTTGCATATCTCTGATAAGGACGAAAAATGATTTTCCAAAAGTTGCACATTCTATTATTACGATTCTTCTATAATACCCTAGAACACTATAGAAAATAACTTCTGCCAGTATCTAATGATAGATAATTGAAATTTCACGAAGCGTTTTTCTCGAAATGAAATTTTCAAAATCGGTACCAAAAATGAATGAAATTGGATAAAAATTTGTGACAATATTCTCAAAGCTATTGTTTGGTATTCGATAAAGCGAAATTTTTAATTCATGCATTTTTTTCTTTTTCTTCTCCTCTTTCAACAAAAGGAGTTGAACATTTATGACGGGAATTGAAAAATTGGTATTTTCAAAATCGGCTTCGACTAGCTTCTTTAGACAATTACAGTTTAACGTAAAATTAAAAAAAATTTGCTTTAGACAAAACTACGGAGATACACCTAACAACACTGCAGATGATGTCTCAATGAAACAGCTACGGCTAAATACGACTGCCATGTCTTGGTACCTTCGTACATTTGGTGCATATTTTTAACAATCACTGGTTGAACATACAATAAAATATGCATATTATTTTTTTAATGAAATTGTAATCCTATCTCCAAAATGTCTTTAATTTTCCTTATTTTGCAACCATTTAAAGGTATGTAACATAAGAAAATATCAAAACTCTATACATATTAATACAATTAAACTCTAAGCATATTAATTTTTTATTCGATATTCGAATATTCTTTTAATCCATAATCTTTGCACCTTTAAATAAATTTTTGTCCATAAGTCTGTTATTTACATGAACGTACATATTTTTTACTTTGCATGCTTGCGAAGTCATTTTGTAATTATAACGCAGAAGTACTTGGATATTCGTGAAACTCGACATACCAAACTTTTACATTCTACATAAACCGACGTGTTACACAATATTCAAGCTTTTGTAGCAATTGTAACACGTTAACTCGTACGGAAAATATATATATATGACAGATATATATTACAAAAAACATGTTAAAGAATTTAGTCTTTTTTCAATTACTTTTAAATATAAATTTTTATTCGAGAAATTACAAAATAAGAATCATAAATTAGTTGATACTTAATACCTAATAATACAATATGGAACATATGAAGTGGAATAACGAACACGCATAATGTAGAGGAAGTGAAGGAACATCCACAGGTGAAAAAGGAAAAGAAATGTAAAAGAAAAGAAAAACGTGAACGAGCAAGAAGCAAGATGTGGAAGCAGAGAGAGAGAGAGAGAGAGAGAGAGAGAGAGAGAGAGAGAGAGAGAGAGAGAGAGAGAGAGAGAGAGAGAGAGAGAGTTTGAAAAGAGCTAACAGAGGAAAACTACATGTTTCACGAGCGAACAGCCGAGGATTGTCGAGCCCGAGGAACGGATTGAAATCTGTGTTTGCGAGGAACAGTGGAATTTCCACTGGCACGTCCACCGTTTACCGGAGCAACGATCGTTCGGTTCCACCGACCTTTCTCATGCGGCCGATTACACAACGCCTGACACTGGCACTTATCCCGTTACACGGTATACCCTCTTTCCTTTCTCATTTCGTCGTTGCCATACGTTGCTCGTCCGCTCGCCTCCGCTCCAGGCGCCACCTTATACGACGTAATTAAATTCTTCCTTCATCGAACGTTCGCCAAGTCGGCCACTCGCCGAGATCGATCGTTTCGTGCTTCGGTGAGTTCCGCGCGAGACACCGGGTACATCACGGGCACACCGAGAGGAGAAGGGAACCCGTAATTGCTGCGCCGGTAGACCGATTGTTTGACCCCCGTGCGACCACCCGTGTGTTTCGCCAATTTTGCACCGTTATTATTGCAAATTGCAATTGCATCGTTCGCTCCTCGAGAAACGTTCGTCCCGCATCTTTTAGTTTTACAGCGAAACGTTCGTTCGGTCTTCGTGGAACTTTAATTAGCGTCATACGGCTGAATCAATCTCTGATTTGGCTGGATCCACTTGGAACGTTCGAACGTGGACGAAAACTTAGAAACAATGGAGTTTTACGCGGGATTTTTACGAGGTTAAATCGAGGATTTTAATTTCGCCAATTTTGCACCGTTATCATTGCAAATTGCAATTGCATCGTTCGCTCCTCGAGAAACG